CACCTGCTACTTCTTTCACTATCTCCTCTTCCTCCGCCGCCAACTCTAAAGCCCTCCTTCCCCAACCTAAAACCCTTCCCCAAAACCTCAGTTTCTTGTCTTCCTCCACCCCATCTCTGAGGTCTCTCACGGCTCGCGCCGCCACCTCAGGTGCCGCCGCCGCTCCTTCCAATGGCGGCTCAGCTCTGTCGGCTACCATGGTCTCCGCCCCAGCCGCTGTCAAGCCGCCACCTTCTCTTGACTTCGAGACTTCAGTCTTCAAGAAGGAGAAGATTAACCTGGCGGGTCATGAAGAGGTAAAATGAATGAAAATGAAAAGGGTTCCCTTTTCTTCTGATTTTTATTTTATTTTAGATGAATGGGTTATGTGTAGTTGACATTGTAAATTTCTGGGTTTTGTCTGTTTTATGTGATTTATATGTTGGCTGTTAGTAATTTGGTTATGTGTGATTGGGTGAATATGCAGTATATTGTGAAAGGAGGAAGGGACTTGTTCAAGCTCTTGCCTGATGCTTTCAAAGGAATCAAGCAGATCGGTGTCATTGGATGGGGTTCTCAGGTTTGTTAGTTATACTCTATCATTTGGTTTTGGAAGTCTCTTTATACGTGCTGATTCTGTAAGTCCGTTTATTGTGGCTGTTTTCTTTGAAAACATGGGAGGTTATGTTGCTACAAAATATGGGTGTAGACATGATTTTGATCTAAGTAGTTCGATACTTGATGATATATTTCCCAGGGTTGGAGTAAATAGACACTCATTTTTGGTTTTTCTTTCTAGAGATTAGTTAAGAACTTTGTGCTCTGTCTGTTGTAATTTATATTTCTTGAGAACATTGGTTAGTATTATTGGTAGTGGTACTTTCTGGACTTTTCGGACTGAATGCTTGTTGTGGCTTAACTTAAAATAGTTTTCCATACATGAAACAATGTGATATGACAAACAATAGTTTGCTCGTAAATTTTTTCATTATTATTCAAGTTTGAAAGTTATGTGAACAATGACTTGCTTTACTTGTATCACTGCAGGGACCTGCCCAAGCTCAGAATTTAAGAGACTCACTTGCCGATGCAAAGTCTGATATTGTTGTCAAGGTAATTTTATGTCTTTCTTTCTTTATCTCTGTTTTTTCCCCTTTCACGATTGCGCTATTATTTGATTTTTCCATGTTCGTTAAACTAAAGCATATATGGGTTTTCCATCTTAACTCCTCACAGATTGGGTTAAGAAAAGGTTCACGTTCATTTGATGAGGCCCGTGCGGCTGGATTTAGTGAAGAGAATGGAACACTTGGAGACATTTGGGAGACTATTTCTGGTAGCGATTTGGTGCTGCTCTTAATTTCTGATGCAGCTCAGGTTGGTCTATACATATTTATTCCTGATTTAGCCTCTGTTTGCTGCCATCCATTGATTATTTTTACCAAAATAAATTGTGTTTCCTGGCATGTTCTTTGATGTTCTACTGGAATCACCACCAATATTAAAGATCTGTTTGACGTGTAGTGGTGCTTTCTTTTTCTCTATTTCTTTTGTAAGGGGGGGAGGGGGATGGCGGAGGGGAGTTTGACTCCCACTTACTTTTTAGAGAACAGAAGCAACGGTTTCACCTGAAATTTTGAACTTCTTTCTCATTTTTAAACATGCTTTAGTTATGCATTGAGTGATTAGTGTCGTACGGTAATACAATGTAATTAGTTGAACATTCGTGTTTTTGACAATGAGGTTGGTATATTTTTCTAGATGTGCTGTAAAAACTGTTGTTCTAAAATGAGCTACTCTAATGTTACTTTTTTGTTGTTGCCCAATTTTTATGCCATAAAGTTTTCTGGTCACCGGAGGATAATTAGTAAAGGACCAATTGAAAAAAGCTAAGCAGTGGTGCTTTGTTGAGTTTCTTGATGGTTGAAAATGTGAAATGCTGGTGTTGAAATCATTAGCAGTGACAGATTTCTTATTACTTATTGTTTAGTTTTTCTATCTTTATTGTAGTGTGCTCTGTGCATCTACAACCATTGAAAGCAGATGTAATATCTCACGTGATTTTGTTTCAAATGCAGGCAGATAACTACGAAAAAGTGTTTTCCCACATGAAGCCAAACAGCATCCTGGGTCTTTCGCATGGTTTCCTTCTTGGACACTTGCAGTCTATGGGTCTTGACTTCCCAAAGAATATTAGTGTAGTAGCTGTATGTCCGAAGGGGATGGGTCCTTCTGTAAGGAGATTATACGTGCAAGGGAAGGAAATCAATGGTGCTGGGATCAATGCCAGTTTTGCTGTTCATCAGGTCTTTACTGCTTGTTCTGTCTGTTTGGAAGCTGCATGAGTTGCCTTTTGGTTTATTTGGCAGTTGAATGTTAATTGTTTTAAAACTTATGCATACAGGATATTGATGGCAGAGCTACGGATGTTGCCTTGGGGTGGTCTGTTGCCCTTGGCTCTCCTTTTACCTTTGCCACTACACTGGAACAGGAATACAAGAGTGACATCTTTGGAGAGCGAGGTCAGAACTACCTAGCTGGTCTCTGATAATTTGACCGAAGGATATTAGATTCTGTTATTAATAAATTGTTTAAATGCAGGTATTTTACTTGGTGCCGTGCATGGACTTGTGGAGGCATTGTTCAGAAGGTATACTGACAATGGAATGAATGAAGATCTCGCATATAAAAATACTGTGGAGTGTGTGACAGGGATTGTTTCCAAAACAATATCAACTAAGGTTGGTAGCAAACAGATCTAGTTCTCCTGCCTTACAACTCCCCTTTGCATTGTTGTAGTTATTCATGGCTTATGTCAGCTGCACTTTTCTTTGAAACTTATTTATTTTTATGGAAATTACCTTAATAACCTATACTGGTGATATTGGTTTGTTATCAGGGCATGTTGGAAGTTTACAATTCATTGAGCGCAGAAGGAAAGAAGGATTTTGAGACCGCCTACAGTGCTGCTTATTATCCCTGCATGGATATCTTATATGAGTGTTATGAGGATGTGGCCACTGGAAGTGAGATTAGAAGCGTTGTTTTGGCTGGACGTCGCTTTTATGTAAGTTCTTCTTTCCTTTTCTTTTTGTTGGCCTTTTACACTTTGGATTTAGAGGCCCTGTTGCATAAAAGAGATGCACAAATCAACATTCGTACGAATGTCAGTTTCAACCAGTTTCGTATTTTCACATATCGTCATTTTCATGATTTATGAGCAGGATAAGGAGGGTCTACCTGCATTCCCGATGGGTAAGATTGACCAGACAAAGATGTGGAAAGTAGGTGAGCGTGTTCGCGCCGTACGACCTGCTGGTGATTTAGGTCCTCTTTACCCTTTCACTGCTGGTGTCTTTGTGGCATTAATGATGGCCCAGGTGAGTAGATCTACCGTTTATAAATACTTGTCTGTCAATCTTCTCTTACATGTGTGAAAGTTTTCCTTCAGCTGTGGAAGATTTTTCGCTTAGAATAGGTTAAAGAAGACTTCTACTAACGAGCTCTGGAAGTTCTGTATCTCTTAAGAGTGATCAAACATCTTTTTCCAGTTGGCTTTTTGAATATGTTTATAGTAATTTGGACTGAAATTTCCTTGCATTTCTTTCTTTTTGTAACCAGATTGAGATTTTGAGGAAGAAAGGTCATTCTTATTCAGAAATCATCAATGAGAGTGTTATTGAGGCTGTGGATTCTTTGAATCCTTTCATGCATGCCCGTGGGGTTGCATTCATGGTGGACAATTGTTCAACAACAGCGCGTCTAGGGTCAAGGAAGTGGGCACCCCGGTTTGATTACATCCTCACACAGCAGGCATTTGTTGCTGTGGATAATAACACTCCCATAAACGGGGATCTCATCAGCAACTTCCTATCAGATCCTGTACATGGAGCTATTGAAGTGTGCGCCCAGTTGAGACCTTCTGTTGACATCTCAGTGCCTCAAGATGCTAACTTCGTGCGTCCTGAATTACGTCAGTCAAGCAATTGAAGTATGCAATGTGAAGGAAATTTGTACCGAAGATCATTAAATCATCTGGCTTGAGGAACGATATCATTACTACGATTTAAAACAATGGAGTAGGGTTTTTGTATGGATGCTTTAATCTTAAGGTAGTCTTTTGAACAATCTTTTGTAGGGTGTTTGTGTATGTTATAATCATCGTGATGAGAGACCTTATGGTTTGATGTTTGCTGGATTTTAAATAAAGCATTGTTTCAGGGTCTGTTATTCGAGACGGGTTTCTCTTCTGTTTACCAGTAATGATGAAATTTCTCATTCAACTGCCCTGGCTCGGCCGGGATTTTACCGGTAAGCTGGTTACGCAAGCTTACGCTTGCAACACTGAAATCTTCCCAGAGAAATGGTTTCTAGCCAGCATCAGGATCAACAAATTCCCAGTGGATGAACCAATAAAACCTGAGAGGCTAATATGGTCGAACTAAATTCCGAAGCATGGAATCCATCTGAATGTCGATATCAGTGATGTTTGTTTTCTAAAGCATACAGAAAGGTTAAAGTTTGGTTGGTAAAGCATTACCGAAAGGTTTAAAACTATGTCACTATGAACTTGTTGGAAAATAAAATCAACGGGAAATCGATCTATAAACCCATGAAAATGATGTTTTTGTGCTAAATCACGATCATATTCAGCTCTCTTTATCAGTTTTAAACGTGAAAGCTAGGATTCATCTAGTGAGATCAATCGAACACAGATCAGGTTAATTGATGATGATCACGACTTCTTGACTTGGAGTCCATGAATATGAAAAAAAAGTAAACTAAAAATTGTTTTTATATCAAAATGATGTCGACCAATGTCCTTACCTTTGGAGGGGACTAGTATTGCATAGAGGATACGCAACTACTCGGCTTTCAAATTCAGAAGACCTTTGAGCATTGCTAGTCAAGAAAGACGTTCAAAGCAAGTCCAATTGACGCTTAGAAGGCCACGGAAATTACGTGAGTATAAAATCGATTTACGTCTCCCTTTATACAAAGATAAAATTCTTTCAACGCCATGCTTCTCTTATTGACCATAACATACAATTTTTTATTTTTTATTTTGAAAAGATTTATAAAACCGTAAAGAAAATGATCTTCATAATTCGATCTACAAAGTATTAATACCTTCAAAGAATGGCAAGTGAAAACCTAATGAGTAGTAGTAATTGATTGAATTAATATTTCAAAAGTGTTATTATACATTTAATATAACACCAAAAGTTATACGGACATTTTCATAGTTATAAGGCGAGTAGAAAGAAGCCATGTAAGAAAACATTGGAGGAAACAGGAAATCAGGATCCTGGAACTGGAGGAACATTGCCTACAAAATGGTTCCCGGCTAGGGCCAGTTCCCTTAGTGTTGTGAGGTTAAATATTGCTGCCGGGATTTTGCCAGTTAAGTTGTTCCATTGCACATATAATCTTCCGATGCTCGTCGACTTCCATATCTCGGCCGGGATTTCACCTGTAAACTGGTTTCCCCCGAGGAATACTCCTTCCAGTTGCGGAAGCCGTCCCAACTCTGCTGGAATTCTCCCAGTGAATTGACATTTACTCAGCATCAGGATCAATAAGCTGGACATATTCCCAATGGACAGAGGAATGTTACCCGTGAAATCATTATGTCCAATAACCAAATTCCGAAGCTTGGTCATATTCCTTCCAATATCACTTGGAACACTACCTGAAATCCTACTAATAAACGTTAATAAACATTACCTTGCTTTCGCTAAATCATTACAGAAAGAAAAATTTGAGGAAAAAAAAAAGTGTTTTTACCTGTGAACTTGTTATCAGATAAATCAATGGTGTCCATGGCACTGCAATGCGATATGCTAGCAGGGATTGGCCCCTGAAATTGGTTATTTCCAACGTTTAACAGCTCCAGATTTGGATATCTGAAACACAAATCTTGGGGTAAAGAACCTGAGAACCCGTTAACCATAACTTCAAGAGCCTTTAATGCAGAGAGATTTGAAGAAGCAAGAGGTAGTTCTCCCGTCAGGCTATTTTTTGAAAGATACAGAAAGCGAAGCGTGGGAATGTTTATGATCTCAGGTGGTACTTCTCCTGTTAGGTTATTTTCAGAGAGATGCAGATAATGAAGCGTGGAAAGATTTCCAATCTCCGGTGGTATTGCTCCTGCGCGATAGAATGACTTATAACTTGAGAGGAAGTTCACTTTCATGCTTTCTTGTTCTAGTAGGATTCAGAGTTGGATGTGAGAATGAAATTACCTGAGAAATTATTAGCACCAAAGTAGATCAAGTAGAGTGCACTGCAGTGTGAAAGGCTAGAAGGGATTTGGCCAGAAAGTTGGTTAATTTGGAATTCTAACCACTCCAAATTTGGATGACTGAAGCACATATCATCAGGCAAGCTACCGTAGAATTCATTATTTCCTAAAACAATCTCGGTCAAGACGGATGAATTACCCGAACTTATATCTAACTGCCCTGCCCATGCCAAACAATTCATACGAGTTAATACAGAACCTTTCACGACAAGGCCAATCAGGAGGGACACAGACACCCCACCAAAAGAAGGAAAAGAAGAAAGCAGAAAAAACCTGTTAAGTTGTTACTCCAGAGATATAAATGTTGAAGCGATGACATATTCCAAATGCCTACTGGAATTCTCCCTTGCAGACTGTTGTTATACAGAGAAAATTTGTTGAGTGATCGACAATAAGACATGCTAGAAGGGATTGGTCCTGTTAGGAAGTTCTGAAAGAGAATCACATATTCAAGATTCATGGCGGTCTTGCACATATCCCATGGTAGACTGCCGGATAACTGATTATTTTCAGCTGCTAAAGCAGTCATTGAAGATATATTGAAGAGCGTTGGAGGTAGGACTCCTGTCAGATTGTTTTCACCAAGAACCAACCACTCTAGTTTTGAGAGGTTGCCTAAATTTCTAGGAATGGAACCCGTAAAATGATTGCTTTCCAAAACAATGAACTTGATCTCTGAGCATTGAGACAAGGTAGCTGGAATTTTTCCACCAATGTGATTGTATGACACATTGAAGTATTCCAATTTTGGGAGATTACCACAGAGATCTTCCGGGAGTGTCCCATTAAGGAAGTTATACATCAGGTCAACAGAACGAAACGAAGTAATGTTGAAAATCGACCAAGGGATTGGTCCACTGAGACTGTTATTATGCAGGACCAGCTCTTCCATTCGGGTAAGATACCCTAAGCTTTTCGGAATCTGGCCGCTTAGCACATTGAGCTGCATATACAGATATCGCAACCTCTTCAGATGGCCGATTTCATCTGGGATGAAGCCATAGAAGTTGTTTCTGCTTATGTCAAGAGACACAAGGAAGGAGAGATTTCCGACTTCTTTGGCTATTGTGCCTTGGAACCGTCCCCCGGATAGATCCAATGCCGCAACTCTTTGGTGCTTTTGATTGCAAGTGATGCCGATCCAATTGCAAACAGAGGTGCCTCTGGTCCAATTGGTTGCTAATATGCTAAAGGGATCATTTGTTATGTGAGACTTGATGGCCAGAAGAGCAGATTCATCAGAGGAAATGCTCTTGAATATTGGGCTAGCGCTACAAGCAATGAAGAAGAAGTATTGGATGGTGAAACACAGCAACAATTTGGAGATCTTTGCCATGGATGCTGCTGTCAAATGGGAAGATAATGTATGTTATGAAATATGAACAGATTATGTTGGCTTGACCCTTTTATTAAATCCATTTGATATTTGGTTCTAGTCTCTACAGAGTTCAGTGTTGATGTGATCATTTGGCCACAGAACAGGTTAAATTGAGTTGACTCGGATTCCATGAATGCGAATGTGTGCCTGTGTGTTGCGTTTCTAGTAAAAAAACAGAAAATGATTGGAGTAATGATTCTGTTCATATTGGAGGGATGTGGAGGAATTCGTATTGCATACAATATACGCAACTCTGCCATCAAAATCAGAAACAGACCTTTGAGCATGCAGGTCAAGAGAACACAGTTTAATAGTTTAGTCCAAGTAAAATTGACGACTTCAAACCGTTCATCTTCAAACTGTCAAATTGACCCCCAAAGAAAGAATCTCTAATGAAATTATGATGCCGTCGACTCAGTTGACTTGAAATCGACTCATTGGCGTCGACAACCCTCATCCTTCATTGTTTGATACATAGACCCACCGAATTCTTGATTTTTTTTTCTTTTTTGTTGACTGGTACTCCCTCTGTCCCAAAATTATTATCAACTTTGAGATTTAATTTTTAGTACAATTTGAATTAGAAATGAAAAATCCAAACTGGATAATAATTATGGGACTGAGGGAGAGTTAGAATAGGGAAATTGTATTTGATTCATCATATATTGTGCACAATATACAGACTATATATAGACAATAACAAACCCTAATCTAGGACATAATAGGAAATATACTAAATATTACAATACGCCCCCGCAAACTTATGGCGGAGAAGAGAGAAGCCGAAGTTTGTCCCGAAATCGAAAAAATAACTCTTTGGACAAGGGTTTGGTCAAGAATATCAGCAAGCTGATCAGCAGCAGAAATAGAATTGACCGAAACAAACTTACGGCCGAACATAATCTCGAACAAAGTGAAAATCAACCTCAACATGTCTTGTACGAGCATGGAACACAGGATTGACAGCAAGGAAAACTGCACTACTGTTGTCACACCAAATAGAGGGAGGGCGATGTAAAGAAACGCCTAACTCGGACAACAGATGACACACCCAATGTAGTTCAACACAGACATTAGCAACCGCACGAAACTCAGCCTCAGTAGACGAGCGAGCCACAGTGGGTTGCTTCCTAGATGCCCAGGCAATGAGATTAGGTCCCAAATAAATGAGAAAACTAGTAGTAGAACGACGATCATCTGGACAACCAGCCCCATCAGCATCACTAAATGCAGTAAGAGTACTCAAATCTGTAGGATGCAGAACTAAACAGCAATCAACGGTACCACGAAGATAGCAAAGAACCCGTTTGAGAGCTTGAAAATGAGAAGTGCGAGGCTGATGCATGAACTGACAAAGCTTATTAACCGCAAAGGAGATATCTGGACGAGTGAGAGTGGTATACTGCAGACTGCCACACAGTCGATGATAAGTAGTCGCATCATCAGGAGACAACAGAGTACCATCCAAACGGGACAACACAACATTAGCCTGCAAAGGAGTGGAAACAGGTTTGCAAATATGTATATTTGCAAGTCGTAGCAAATCAGTGACATACTTGCGCTGAGAGAGAAGCAAACCCTTGGAAGTACGACGAACCTCGACCCCAAGAAAGTAACTCAATGGACCTAAATCCCGAAGAGAAAACTCCTTAGCAAGACAAGAGATAAAATGCTGGACCAAACCAGAAGTGCTGCCTGTAAGAATAATGTCATCCACATAGACCAGCAAAAAACACAACTGAGACCCACGTCGATAGACAAAAAGAGACGGATCACAACGAGACTCCACAAAATCCAAGGTAAGTAGAAATGCTGCCAGCCGAGAATACCAGGCTCGAGGAGCTTGCTTAAGACCATATAAGGACTTATGCAGTTTACACACATAATGAGGGCGCACCGGATCAACAAACCCCTGTGGCTGAACCATATACACGGTCTCACTTAGAACACCATTAAGAAAGGCATTACTGACATCAAGCTGAGAAATTGACCATCCACGAGCCAAGGCAATAGTCAAAACCGAATGAATGGTGACCGGCTTAACAACCAGACTAAATGTGTCAGTGTAATCAACCCCAAAAGACTGAGTAAAACCTCGAGCCACCAACCAAGCCTTATACCGCTCAATGGAGCCATCAGCATAGGTTTTAATCTTATAGAGCCATCGATTGCCGACAACATTGCTGGGGGAAGGAGGGGGAACTAAAGTCCATGTGTTATTTTTGAGGAGGGCGGAAATTTCATCCTTCATGGCATTCTGCCACTGAGGAAGAGATTTGGCTTGGGTGAAGGATGTAGGAGCAGTAGACAAGGCTGGGGAAATAGAGGTAAGATGAGCCGAGGGATCAAAGATTTTCTTGGGCTTGGGTTGTGGACGAAGTGTCATTGAGTGCTGACGGGAAGAAGGAGGAGGAGGTGGCGGCGGAGGACTACAATCAGATGATGAAGAGCTGGATGCAGGAGACCTAGCTAAAGGTGATGAGTCGGGAGGGATAGGAGGAGACGAAAGAACTGGTGTACTAGAAGGAGATGAAGAAGACGCAGAAGACGACGCAAGCATACCAGGAGAACTGGTTACACGCAACCAAGGGGTAGCAGGAGACTCCAGCAGCGAAGAAGGAGAACTAGAAATAGGATATTTAAAGGGGAAGAGTTTCTCATCAAACTCAACGTGACGAGCAACATAAAGACGGTTATTCACCACATCAAAACAGCGATAACCAAGATGAGATGGAGAATACCCAAGAAAGACACACTGAGTAGAACGAAAGGAGAATTTATGTTTATTATAAGGGCGAAGAAGAGGATAGACAGCGCATCCAAAGACACGAAGAAAGGTATAATCAGGAGGCTGGTGATATAGTGTAGTGAAGGGTAGGTGACCTTGAAGAGGTTTATTAGGGTGACGATTAATCAAAAACACAGCAGTTTCAAAAGCAAAATCCCAAAACCGAAAAGGGGTACTGGAATGGCCAAGGAGAGCAAGTCCAATGTCGACAATGTGACGAATTTTGCGTTCAGCAGTGCCATTCTGCTCATGAGTGTGTGGGCACGCTAAACGATGAACAATACCGACATCCTTAAAGAAAGAATTGAGAGAACGAAATTCACCACCCCAATCAGTGTTAACACTTTTAATGGTAGTGCCAAATTGGTTTTCTACGAGAGCTTTGAATTGCTTGAAAACATGGACAACATCACTTTTATACTTAATGGGATAAATCCATGTCAATAAAGAGAAGTCATCAATAAAAAGCACAAAGTAGCGATAACCATTGAATGACAAAATAGGAGCAGGACCCCAAACATCAGTGTGAATTAAATCAAGAGGGTTAGAGCTACGATGAAAAGTAGAAGGTAAACTGACCCTATGTAACTTCCCTAAACAACACGCCTCACATTTATCAGTGGACGTGGACACAGAGGAATAAGGAAGTTGAAACTGCCTAACCAAAGTACGAAGAGTGACATTATTAGGGTGCCCTAAACGAGCATGCCACTGACCTAAAGAGACAAGATAAGCTGCTGGAGACAAGGAACCACGAGCAGGAAGATCTAAGCGATAGAGACCATTATCAGCCTGACCGCGGAGGAGGAGTTCCTTGGTTGAAAGATCCTTAACACCACAAGAGTCAGAATAAAATTCAAAAAAAAACAGTGATTATCACGGGTAAACTTTTGAACAGATAACAGAGGCTTAGTAAGAGAAGGAGCATGCAAGACACGATTTAAATAAAGAGGACGAGAAAACGATGGCAAGACAGATTGACCAACATGCTGAATGGGTAAAGTATCTCCATTACCAACTAAAATATGATCCGTACCAGTATAATCATTGGAGATACTGAGAGAGGACAAATCTGGTGTGACATGATCGGTAGCACCAGTGTCCGGATGCCAAGGAGTGACAGAAGGGGCATACTGCGCCATATGGGCTTGAGGAGACATAGTCGATTCCGGGTAAGACGGAAGAGGCAACAAACCAGCTGAAGGCGGTGCAGGAGAAACTGCCTGGGCATAAGCAGCCGACCGAACGGCAGGGGGTCGAGGAACAAAATTAGTATCAAAACGGCGGTGACAAGTGGCGGCCGTGTGATTCAAGATGCCGCAAAGCTGACACGTCTCACCCGGAGCGGGAGGGGTGTACCCACGCCGACCACCACCACGACCAGAAACCTGATTGCGCCGGCCGCCACGTTGCGAGCGACCGGCACGAGAGGATTGAGGCGGCGTAGGAGAAGGTGGCGACTGCACAAGCATGGCCGTTGGCTGAAGGACCGGCTGTTGGGCGTGAAGAAGCACCTCATACGAAACTAACTGACCAAGGAGATCTTGATAGGAGGGGGGTTCGGATCACTGCTGCAAAGCTCCGATGATGCCATTGAATTCGGCACCAAGCTTGCGGAAGATGATAGCATTGAACTCCGCAGGAGATATGCGATGGCCGGCAAGCTGCAGTGTATCTATGATACCCTTCGCTTTGGAGAGGAGAGCCGTGACCGACAAGTCACCTTTTTGCAAGCTGTGAAGCTCCATAACAAGCTGGGTCTGTTGAGCATAAGAAAGAGTGCCGAAACCCTGCTGAAGAGCTGTCCAGGCAGCCGCCGACGTTGTGCAGCCCTGGAGAATGGGAAAAATGTCTTCAGCAATGGAAGAAAGAATCCAAGAGAGGACCAACTGATCCTTTTGCTGCCAGATATCAAACTAAGGATTGAGTTGGGGCACGGCACCACTGACGGAAGGAAGAAAACGTGGCGGAGCAGGGTCGGTGCCGTCGACAATACCGGCAACACGAAACATAGTCAATAAAGGAGTAAACTGAAGACGCCAAGACGAATAGTTGGCTCGAGATTGCAGCTTCACAGTGAAAGAATGATTGAGAGATTGCAGACTAGGTTGAAGAAGTGATACTGGTGTCTGTGAAGAAGGTGCTGCCGGCCGAAGCTGGGTAGCCTGGTCGGTGGATGAAAGGTCGGGGATAGTCATCGTTGTTTTAAACCTAGCTCTGATACCAAGTTAGAATAGGGAAATTGTATTTGATTCATCATATATTGTGCATAATATACAGACTATATATAGACAATAACAAACCCTAATTTAGGACATAATAGGAAATATACTAAATATTATAATAGGGAGTACGAGATTTGGGGTAATATACCCATGCATATCATGTCCACAGAAAATTGTGATTATATATGTAATCCTTACAGTGGTTAGTAGAACCGGGGTCTAGAATAAAATTTGTGTTCGAAACAAGACCATTGACACATTTGGCGTCCTATGTTTGTTTTTGATTAATCGTATGAATAACTGAACAAAGTTTTTATCCATACCTAAACCTTGTGACTTTTGGCTTTTGCAGATATCATTGAGAAGACTCCAAAGGTTTCTATGCTTGAGTCTTGGTAGATTGGATTAAGAGTTGGAGCTAATACAATGGTAGATTAATTAGTAATCATCTTCTGTTTGATTGTTGTCACTTACAGAAGATCACGTGGCGCGGTTGAATCGCGATTGAATCCTCTCAATCGCATTCCCTGAAAGTATTTTACGTAGTTAACATCAACCAAAGCATCCGGAAGCGCTTCATAATAATGAGGTCATCATAAGTTCATATTAAGAAAATGATGCCTAGTCAACGACCCTCATGCTTCATCGTCCGATACACGGACCGAATTCGCAACGTTGATTATTTTTGGTGACTAGGACGGAGATTTGAAATTGTCGTGTCCCCTGAAAATTCGGAAATAAACAACCAAATCTCTCACTTGCTTAGCAACTTGCAATGGTGATTGTTGAAATTTCGAGGACCAACCAGTTTGATCAAACTACTCGATTAAGATATTACACAGAATAATATTCTAAAAGGATAATACGGTGTTACAAAAGATCATAGAGGGCGGTTGAATCACGTTTGAACCCTGTCAATCGCATTCCTTAAAACTACTTCATGCAACAATAACTATATACATGGAACCGATCATACAAAAAAAAAAAAAAAAAAGAAAAAGAAAAGCATATAGTGCAACAATAACTGCTTGGATTTATTTATTTATTTTTTTGCAGTATGAAAAAAAGTACATCAAAACTTTTGAATGCAACGGAAAGAAACCAAAGATAAAATTTTATGAGATGTATTTTTTTTTTGAAATAAAAAACTTACTAGATTTATGAGATGTTCCTTTTTTTTTTTTTTTAAAAAAAATCAAGACTTTATTAATTTATGATATTGATGAGACCTATATTTAGATACGAGTTTTTTGAAAAATTATTATCTTATTATTTATTGATTGTCTTTATTTATTACCAAGAAGATTATTATTCCCTCTGTCCCACAAAAATAGTCCACCTCGAGTTTTGAATTTTGTATTGTTTTTAGTATAAATTTGAAAACTCAATGTTGACTATTTTTTTTTTTTTTGGGACGGAGGTAGTAAAATTTTATTAATGTTATGAATTTATTATAGATGTTGAATAGGGATGCAGGCATTTTTCCACCCAAATCAAGGGACGACAAGCTTGACAGAGGAACAAACACAAACTCAAACTATTTTTTATCAATTACCAATTATCGATGGAACATTGCCCACCAGTAGGTTCCCGGCAAGGTTTAGCCTTGTTAAAGCTGAGATGTTGAATAGAGATGCAGGAATTTCGCCAGTCCGCTTGTTCAAGTACAGACATAGTTCATTGATGCGCCTCAACTGCCCAATCTCGGGCGGGATTTCACCTGTAAGCTGGTTTCCCCAAAGGGATACGAATTCCAATCCCGGGAGCAGTCCTACTCTGCTGGAATCTTCCCGGAGAATTGGTTGGACCCGAGGTTTAAAACCTCCAGATTCGGAAATCTGAAACCCAAATCTGGAGGCAAGGAACCGGAGAGTAGGTTACGGTGGGAGTCAAGAGTCTTTAATGCAGAGAGATTTGAAGAAGAAGGGAGAGTTAGTTCTCCCGTCAGGCTATTGTTTGAAAGAAGAAGAACCTGAAGCGCGGACATGTTTACGATCTCAGGTGGTATGCTTCCTGCATGATCATCAAATAATTTATAACTGGAGAAAAGGCTATGTTTGGATCGTTTTTTCAATGTGTGTTTTTAGGTGTTTTTTGTATTGGGAATGTAAAAAGGTGCATTGGAAACGTAAAAAAGTATGCTGGGATGAGACAGTTATTATTTAATTATTTTGAAAAAACCATCAGAAAAACCTTCCAAACAGAAAAATTTCAACATTCTTTGTTTGTTCTAGTAGAGTAGTAGGTTTCAGAGAGTTGGATTTTGGCAAGAGTAAAATATACCTGAGAAATTATTAGAGCTCAAGTGGATGCGGCAGAGTGCACGGGAATGTGAAAGACTAGAAGTTATTTGGCCAGAAAGTTGGGTATATGTCAGTTCTAACCACTCCAAATTTGGATGACTGAAGCACATATCATCAGGCAAGCAGCCGTAGAATTCATTTACTCCTATCTCTATCACCTCCAAGACGGATGAATTACCCGAGCTCATCATATCTAACCGCCCTGCAGCCCATGCCAAACAATTAGTACCTGTTAATAATGCAAAAAGAAGAAAAAGAAAGAAAGAAAGAAAGAAGAAACCTGTTAAGTTGTTAGCCCCGAGACACAAATGCTGAAGAGATGACACATTCCAAATGCCACTTGGGATTCTCCTTTGCAGATTGTTTCTATTCACAAAAAATTCATTCAGAGATCGACAATTAGACATGCTAGACGAGATTGGTCCTGTTAGGAAGTTCACATCGAGCCACACATATTCTGGATTCCATTCTAGCACATATCCCCTGGAAGACCTCCGGATATCTGATTATAAGAAGCTTCCAAAATAATCATTGAAGATGTATTGAAGAGTGTTCAAGGTAGGACTCCTGTCAAATTGTTTCCACCAAGATACAACCACTCTAGTTTTGAGAGGTTGCCTAAACTCCCAGGAATGGAACCCGCAAGATAATTTCTCCCAAAATCAGGAATTTCATCTCTAAGCATGCATTGAGACAAGGTTGTTGGAATTTGGCCACCTATTTGATTGATAAGCACATTAAAGTATTTGGAGCTTACTACAGATATCTTCCGGGAGTGTCCCGTTGAGGAAGTTGTACATCAGATCAATAGCCCGCAATGAAGAAATGTTGAAAATGGACTGAGGGATTGGTCCACTCAGACTGTTATTATACAAGATTAGTTCTTCCATTCGGGTAAGGTGCCCTAAGCTTTTGGGAATCTGCCCGCTTAGCGCATTGAGCTGCATGTGCAGATATCGCAATCGCTTCAAATGGCCGATTTCATATGGGATGAAACCATAGAAATAGTTTGTGCTTATGCTAAGAGAAACAAGGAAGGAGAGATTCCCAACTTCTTTGGCTATTGTGCCTTGGAACGATCCTCCGGATAGATTCAATGCCACAACTCTTTGGTCCAATTGGTGGCTAATATGTTGTAAGGATCATGTGTTATTTGAGATTTGATGGCCAGAAGAGCAGATTCATCTATGGAGATGCTTGTGAATATTGTTGGCAGAGCTCCACAAGCAATGAAGCAGCAGTATTGGAGGGAGAAAAGCAGCAACAGTTTGGAGATGTTTCCCATTGATATGATGAAATCTTATTGAAACACACAATATTATGAACGAATATTTTGTTTTGATACCCTTTTGTGTTGCATTGATTTTAGGCCAATGGAGATTGGGATGTTAGGCTTAAAAAGAAAAAGCGTAACTATAGCCAACGTGTCAGATTGTCTTATTCAAGCTTTGTAAAATTAGTCCTTCAGTCAAGGGGTCAATCAAGTGATAAACCACCGAAAAAGCTTTACCTGACTTAGATTCCATGATTTTGTTTTTATATACTCTGAGTCAACGGAGTCAATTAAGCAAAAACAAATTCTGAGGGGATCAAAGAGATGAGAGGGTGGAAAATGGTTTAACAGGAAGAAACTGATAATATTACATTTAACAAGTTATATCATATACCTTTAAAAAATTAAATGGTTTAATTATTTTTTTATTTCGGTTAAAAAAATCGATAATTGTAAATAAGTAAAATACATGAAGAAAATATACAGCATCCCATTGATCTTCATTTTTCGATATTTTCAATAGGATAAGTAACTTCATGCCAAGTGTCCCAAATCTCTTCTCTTTTAATACTAGTGATGTCTGGTCGCGCAATGCGCGACCCTGGCCCAGTCTATCTGTAGATCTTAGAAATGTTTATATTTGAAAAAAATAAAATTTTGTATTTGGAGCGATATATTTTAGAAATGTTTGAAGGATTTAGAAATGTTTTATAAGTGTGATCATAGAAATATTTGTATTTCGCAAAAAAAAAAGAAATAAATTGTATTTCACCATGTATGTTTTAGAAATGTTTTATAAGTGTTACTTATTAAATATAAATAGCTTAATCGAATATATATGTTGAAGTAAATGTTAGATAAAATATAAAAGCATCCTAATAAATTTAAATATTAGTAAGATGATTTATTGATGTTCTCCATTGGTCGTGCCAAATCAATACTTAGTTTTGGAGATTTTTAATAGCTTTGTGATAAGCTTCATCCAAAGGGTATACGCTTAAAACAAAATTGACACTTTGTAACAAAAAACCTAATTGATCAATTCAATTTAAAAAACCACTCTAGTTGAATGAAACATAAAGAAAAAAAAAAGTGTCACGTAAAGTGCAAAAGGAGATTTAGTAATTTAGTTATGGTTAGACAAAAGGGCAATTTAGTATTTTCTACATGCCACGTGGCAATCATATGAGGTGTTTGAAAGGGAGGTTTTTGTTTCTAATATAGTAGGATACTAGATGTCATACCCGTGCGATGCACAGGATTAAATAATAATTTTTAAATGATTTATTATTTATTGTTTTATCATGATCTTACTTTTTTTTAAACTATATTATTATTGAAATCAAATAAAATGTTACATAAATGGTTTCATATCTAGGTATAGTCGGTTAAATAGTTCACTTGCTAAAGTTGACATTTGAACTCAATACATTAAGATATGGATTTACCAAAACAAATCAAATGTTAGTACTTGACACTTATAAATTCATTATTATTCTGGATAAACTTTTTTAGTCAATAATAAAATATAAACCAAATTGTTATAATTTAAATTAAGCTCAAAAGTTCCAAGAATAAAGAAGAAGACAAAATTCATATATTGCTTCTACAAAAAAAAAAAAAAAATAACAAGAAGAAGAATAAGAAATAAATTTATGGCTGTTCAACTCCAAAGAAATTATTCAGCCTTTTTATTTTTTTATTTTTAAACTTAAAGTGGGATCTTAATGAATTTTACTAATTTTTTAAGGGATAAGATAATTAAAACAATCCAAATTTGGAGGACTTTTGACACAATAACACTAACTTCTATTTTGAGGATTTATAAGAAAATTACACCTAAAATTTTTGCTAATGTGGTACTTTACGGATAAATATTGTTTCATCTCTCTAGTTTCTCTCTTAGAATATACTATAGATAGATACTCCCTCCGGTCCTTATAACAAGACATTTTGATTTCGTCTTAGGTTTCACCTAGGATGACTTTTAAATTGAAATAAAAATCTTAAAAATATTTCATAATAATTAAAAGAATACAATGAATTTGAAAATATATCTTTCAGTTTTTTTTCAATTAAAAAGACATCCCTTTTACCCTATTAAAACAGAATACAGGATGTTGATGTGGCAACTTCTTATTAAAAAATTTTGGCTCCAAATGCACTATATTACTTTAACCATTCTGCCACATGTCATCCTTTTTTTTTTTTTTTTAAAAAAAAATTCTTATCCGCAAAAACAAAAACTAATTTATAAAAATAGCTACACAATTTTAACTCCTAACACTTATCATTTATCAATCAAATTAAGATAGGATTTAAATTTGTCCATAAACTTATCCCTTTTATTACTCCACATTCTTTTGTATGATTTCTGCATCGGTGTACTTTTCAATATTTTTTCTCATTTTGCAGATGATTTTTTATTTTTATTTTTATTTTTGGCTAAAAAAGGGAAAAAATAAATGTGTAGCTATTTTATTTTTTCCAAATTAAAAATTCATTTATCTATTAACACAAAATTAAAGTAGAGGGGGCGCCCAGGCATATGCCTGAGCTAAGCATCTAGTACGAAGTTAAACCTAGAACGAAATCAAAATGTCTTATAATAAGGACCGGAAGGAGTAACATATATATAAATAGGATTGAATGTCTGAATTAAAATATAATATATAGGATAGTATTGAATGGTTAGAATTGCATTTGTAATTAGATCATCATAGCTTCAGGCCCTGATTTTTCGTTTGGTCCAATTTTGTGGCTAATATTTGTAGGGAGCGTGCCTTATTTATCTGGAAATGCTTTTCATTTCCGTATTTAGAATTCAGATTGTGTTGACTTTAGCTTTCTTAATCTAGCGACTTTAAAGTGAGCAACTTGTTTGCCACAGAACAGGTTAAATTGAGTTGACTTGGATTCCACGAATAGCACCAATGTGTGTTGGGTTTCTAGCAAAAAACAGAAAATGATTGGAGTAATGATCAGTTGATGCTGTTCATATGTAGAAGGATTCGCATTGAGCATATACGAAATTAGTTTGGGGACTAACATGGAGGGTGGAAATTAGGGGTAAAGACTAAAGAGTAAAGACCTAGACCAATATTAAATGGTTAGACTTTAGAAGAAAATGTATCCTTGCAATGGTAAATGGTTACAAGAATCAGGGCGGGGCCAAGCCCCTAGCAGTAGGTGAGACAAAAAAGTTTAGTCATAAACATATTTAATTTGTTAAAAAATTATCAAAATATAAATCCTAACAAAATATTACAAAGTTTCTTTACGTATATTCATTTTCTAACAACTTTGCAAAACAAGTTTATCGTCAATAGTATCAAAGAGATACTTCTCCATATATGCAACTAGACAATCATTCATTTATCAATTTGCCATCGAATTTGAAGTAGGTTTATCACAATCTTCATAGCATAAAATTATCTTTCAACAGTTGTAGTGACCACAGACAAAACAAGTGCACTCAAATACAAAAATATAAAATTGCGATGTGAAAAAAAAGAATTTACCAAAACAACTGATATAGGCAGTAGGCACTCAAGTACTTGATCTAGCACATTAATTCAATTCTAATCTCAAAATGAATAGCTACTAGAGTCAATAGCCAATAGACAAATGAAATATAAATTGGGCATATATAAAAAGAACCGAAAATTAATGAAAAATATGAACATTTTTTCACTTGACTATGACAAATCAGTATTCAATATGTACGTAAACTCTACAATCTACATAAATCTAACTCACAAAAAAAATTATTCTTTAAAGGAAGACAAAACTAATAGAATTCACTACAACAAAAATGGGTTATTAATACCTTTATAGTGGGACATTTTTTCTAAAATGTGTCTCATTGTATGTGTATTAGGACATTTGCTAAAGAGTGTTTAATTAAAATGAAAAAGTGTATGCATATTATGGAACTCTATCATAAGTGTACTATGTGGGGTTGATTGTGAATTATTACCTTATTTAATGGGTTACTTTAAAGTGTCTTAATAAATGACAATCTAATAATACACTTTCAAATATTTTATGACTTATTGTGACTCGATTATAGGAGACACTATTTAGCAGTGTCTCACGCAATGTGAATCACATGTGTCCTATTACACCACTTATTGAGACACAAAAAGTGTCTAAACTACTCATTTTTGTTGTAGTGATTTCTAAATTAATTACAAAAACTACATAATCCACGAACAAATGAATAAAAAGAGAACTTCAAAAAAAATAAAAAATTACATACACAATAAAGCTTACTGAACGTCCGCTCTCCGGTATTTAATTATTTACTTCCACATTCCAATCACTAAAAAAGATTGAGTTCTAAACCCTAAGAGAAAAAGGCAGAGTCGATGAAGAACAGAGCAAATTTTGAGTTTGGGATGGGAAAAGAGACGTGAGGTTCTTCGTTTTTCTAATTGATATAATACGTTATTAATTTAACTAAGCTAAAGTAAACAATCACTAACTTTTAGTTTCTCTTTCTTAATAAAATATTTGTAGTAATTATCAACTTTCTTCTTTGCTCCCAACTTACAAATTATTATTGGGGCAAAGTTTTAACGTTTCTGTAATTTAGTAATACCCTAAGGGTACATAGGGAATTTTGAGCTGGGGCAATCTAACATGTATGTAAATCCGCCCCTGACAAGAACCAACATCGCACGTCGCATCCTATGTTTGTTTTTCACTAATCGTACGAATAATTGAACAATTTAATATTCAGTTTGTCAAATCCCTGCCTTAAAAATGAAGAAAAGAATTGGTACCTTGTGACTTTTAGCTAGCTTTTGCAGATATCATTCATATGTGCACGGCTTTTAAATGTTTTAGAGAAGAGAAAACTCTTAAGCTCAGCCACTCCCAAGATGTTTAAGGCGGTTGCATGTTCTTGGCTCTTAGTAGATTTGATTTAGAATTGAAGCTAATGCTATGGTGAATAAATTAGTAATCTTTTCTATTGGATTGCTGAAATTTCCTGGACAACCAGTTTGATCAAATTACTCGAGGGATAATTTGAATAAATTATAATATCACATAGAATAAATGTATCGGCAGACGGATTATCTAAACATACATGTAATGATGTTTTAATGCAGTATGAAAGTCATACAGAAGTAACAGAACTAATCTACATGGAATGTTCTACTTAGATCAAATATCTTTCCCGTGTTTTCATGTCCATTATAAATAA